TAAAACTGATAAAAATATAAAACTCACTGGTAAAGGTAAATATATAGTTAAATTAGAATATTCTAACATTGTAATTGTGGTAGGTAAATAACTTTTAACTCTAGTGTAAATCTTAAAAGACAAAAGTATCAAAATAAGTAAAACTATAATAATAGGTACACAATATACAAAAGATTTAGTTTGTGATTTTGACAACATAAATTGAGGGAGGATAATGTAAAAATTTAGAGCTTTTGTATGCATTAGAAGTTAAGATATTATCAGTTTGAAATGCACTATTATAACCATAGGATATTTTGTGCAAGTCTCATAGTAACCACAAAGCAAAAAGCGATAACAGATAAGCAAAAGACAAAGAGGAGAGATCAAACATACCAATATGGAAAACCATCAGTTTACTAAGAGAGGAAGTAAGAAACTACAAAATAGACAGAAAACAGCAAGATGGCAATAGTAATCCCATACATATCAATAACTCTTTAAATGTAAGTGGACAAAATTTTTCAATCAAAAGACATAAAGTGGCTGAATGGATAAAACAAATAAGACCTAACTATATGCCGCCTACAAGAAAATCACTTCAGTTTTAAGGACACACAGACTGAAAATGAAGGGATGGAAAAGATCCTCCATGCCAATGGAAACCATAGGAAAGCAGAGTTAGGGATATCAGAAAACAAACAAACAATCACAACAACAAAAAATTTAAGCCAAAAACTAAAATTAGAGACAAAGAAAGTGATTATATAATGATAAAGTGGTCAATTCATCAAGAGAATAAAACAACTATAAATATTTATGTGCCCAACTTAGGAACATCGAAATTTTAAAGCAAATATTAACACATCTAAAGGAAAAAAATAGAAGAAAATTACAGATTATTCAGACAGAAAATCAATAAACACTAGACTTAAACTATAATTAGATCACACGAAGCTACCAGATATATACAGAGCATTTCATCTAATAACAACAGATAATACAGTCATCTCAAGAATACATAGATCATTCTCCAGGATAGATCATATATGAGACCACAAAAAAACTCTTGCAAATTTAAAATAATCCCAGGCATTTTTTTTCCATCCACAGTGGCATGAAAGTGAAAATCGATTACAAGAAGAAAACTTACAAATTTACAAATATGTAGTAATTTAACAATATGCTCCTGAACAACCAATGGGTCAAAAAGAAATAAAAACAGAAAACAAAATATCGAGCCATGGTGGGTTTGGTTCAGCAGTTAGAGTATCAGCCCAAGGATCAAAGGGTCATGGGTTTGATTTCCGGTCAAGGGCAAGTACCTGGGCTGCAGGTTTGATTCCTGACCACAGCTGGAGTCATGTGGGAGGCAATCAATCAATGTATCTCTCTCCCATAATGTCTCTGTCTCTGTCGCTCTCTTACATTTATGTTTCTCTCTCCCTCCCTCCTTCCACTCTCTAAGAATCAGTGGAAAGATATTCTCAGGTGAGGATGATAAAAAAAATTTAAGAAATTAAAAAACAAACACACAAAAATATCAAGATAAATAAAAATGGAAACAAAACATACCAAAATTTATGGGATGCAGCAAAAGCAGTTCTAAGAGGAAAGTTTATGGTGATAAATGATTACATTAATAAATGAAACTCACAGATATGGAGAAAAAATTGATGGTCACCAGATGGAAAGAGGTTTGGGGGGATTGGGTGAAAAAGGTGAAAGAGATTAAGAAGTACAAATTGCCAGTTATAAAAATAGTCATGGAGATGTAAAGTATAGCAAAGGAATATAGTCAATAATACTTTAATAACTATGTACAGGTACTAAACTTAATGGTGTGATCACTTTCTAAGCTATATAAATGTCTAATCACTATATTGTACATCTGAAACTAACATAATACTTTATGTCAACTGTATTGGAAAATAAATTAATTTAAAAAGAAAGATCTCATATAAATAACTTAATTTATGCCTCAAGAAGTCAGGCAAAGAAGAGTAAACTAAGCCAAAGATAGTAGAAGGAAAGAAATAAAGGTCAGAGTAGAAAAAAATACACTAGAAACTAAAAACACAATAAAAAATAAATGAAACTGAGAGGTGGTATTATAAAATGATAAAGTTGACAAACCTCACCTAGACCAAGAAAAAAAGGAGAAGCCTCAATAATATCAAAACTGAAAAAAGACGGCGTGACAAATGATAACATAGAAATACAAATGATCACAAAACTACCATGAAGAATTATATTCTAATAAGGTAGATAACCTAGAAGTAGATAAATTCCTAGAAACATCAAATCTACCAAAACTGAGTCATGAAATTTAGAAAATCTGGACAGACCAATTACTAACAAGAAAACTAAATCAATAATCAAAGTCCTCCCAACAAAGAAAAGTCCAGAAGCATATGGCTTCACTGGTGAATTCTACCAAATATTAAATGGAAAATACCCCATATTCATGGCTCAGAAGAGTTAGTATCAAAACATCTATATTACCCAAAGTGATCTATGGATTCAATGCAATCCCTATCAAAAGGCATTTTTCACAGAAATAAAATAATAAATCCTGAACTCATATTAAACCACAAAAGACTCCCAAATAGCCAAAGCAATCTTGAGAAAGAAGAATAATGCTGATTTCAGACTATACTACAATAATTCACACATTGTGACATGGGCATTAAAAACAGATACATACATTAATGAAATAGAATAGAGAACCTAGAAATAAACCCATGCATATATTGCCATTAATCTTAAACCAAGGGACCAGGAATATACAATGTGGAAAGAATAGTCTTTTCAATAAATGGTGTTGGTAAAATTAGTTAGCAATATATATATAAGAGTAAAACTGGATCCCTATGTTACATCATACACAAAAATAAATTCAGCCCTGGCCAGTATGGCTCAGCAGTTAGAGTGTCGGCCTGTGGACCGGAGAGTCCCGGGTTCCGTTCCCCCTAAGGGCTTGTACCTTGGTTGCAGTTTGTCCCTGCCCTGGTTGGGGTCACATGGGTGGCAACCAGTTGATGTGTCTCTCTTACATCAGTGTTTCTCTCTCTCTCTTCCTCCCTCCCTCTCGTTCTATCTGAAGATAAATGCAAAAATGTCCTTGGGTGAGGATAAAAAAATAAAATAAATAAATAAATAAATAAATAAATAAATTCAAAATTGATTAAAGATGTAAATAAAAGACTTGAAAACCTAAGACTGTTACAAGAAAACATTCTTCGGTGTTAGCTTCTTGACATTGACCTTGGCAATGGTATTTTGGACGTGATACCAAAAACAAGGCAACAAAAGCAAAAATACGTGAGACCACATCAAACTAAAAAGCTTCTACACAGCAAAGATAATTCTCAACAAAATGAAAAGGCAACTATGAAATGGGAGAAAATATTTGCAAACTATGTATCCAGTTAGGGAGTTAATATCTAAAATATATCAAGAACTCATACAACTCAATAGCCTAATAAATAAATAAACCAGTTAAAATGGGAAAAGAACCTGGATCCCAAATCCAAATTGATATTTTTCCAAAGAAGACATACAAATGGCCAACAGTACATGAAAAGATGCTCAACATCACTTATCATCAGGGAAATGTAAATCAAAACCACAATCAGATATTCTCTTACATATTGTTGGGATGTGCATTGTCCAAAGAAAAGAGACAAAGGCTGATGAGAATGTGAAAAAAGGGAACACTTGTGTACTGTTGGAGGTGTACTGATAAAAAGTACACCTGTTGGAGGGAAGGTAAACTGGTACAGCCATTATGGAAAGCAGAAGAAGGTTCTTCAAAAAATTAAAAATAGAAGTGCCATAGGACCCAGAAATCCCACTTCTGGGTAATATCCAAAGGAATCAAAATCACCATCCTGGAGACCTCTCTGTACTCCATGTTTACTGCAGCATCATTCACATAGTCAAAGGACGGAAACAACGTAAGTGTCCATTGACAGATGAATGGATAAGGATAATGTCATATATCTATATATCAACATATAATATATGAATATTATTCAGCCTTAAAAAAGAAGAAAATCTCATCATTTGCAACAACATGGATGAAATCTTGTGATTTGCACCATCCTAGAGGGCATTATGCTGTGGAATAAGCCAGAGAAAGAAAGGGTACTGCATGCTGTCACTTAGTGAAACAAACAACAACAAAACAGTAGTTAAACTCTGAAACAGAGTGGAATCGTGGTCACTTGGGTCCGGGTGGGGGCAGGGGAAGGGGGAAGGGGTGTGGTGGTGATGGTAGGTGAAGTAGGGAGATGTTGACAAAAGGTTTTAAATATCTAGTTATAAGGTGAATAAGGTTTGAGGATCTAATGTTTAACGTGGTGACTATAGTTGATAACGCTGTATTGTAAAATTGAAATTTACTAAGAGAGTAGAACTTGTGTTTTCACCAAAAAAAAAAACCCAACAACAACAAAAAACCCAAAATATAACTACATGAAGTAATGAATGTGTTCAATTGACTCAACAGTGGAAATCATTTCACAATGTATATGCATATGAAATTATAACATTGTACACTTTAAATACAGTCAGTTATACCTTAATAACTAAATAAAGCTTAAAAAATTCTTAAAAAGCTCCCCCCACCCCATGAAGTAGCACAATTATACCAAAATGTCAAGAGAAATTTCCTTTGAGTTCTTTTTCAATGTTTCAGTGTACATAATTTGGGTCAGTATACAAAGCATTTCTCTTCCCAAGGGTTCTCTTATTTGTTGAGTTCTTCCAATAACTTGATTGACAGGGATGCAGTGTGGACTCTATAACTGGGCAAAGTTACTGCGTACCACATGAGAACATGTAATCTTCTCTTACCTAAGGCTTACCATCTTTCTTAGAATTGTAAGGGCAACATTGTGCTTTCAGAGTACACGGGTTTGTTTGTTTTTAAAACACTGAAACATATGCATGCATATATTTCTCGTCCTTCACCCCTGCTCTTTTGTTCTTTTAGTTTAAAAAAAAAAAATGTTTACCTCATTTCCGAGAAGGGCATTTACACAGGCCTCCGATGCATCGCAGATGGCTGTGAGGTCATGTCCTCCTTCCAGAGCCAACACCACGTGTCCATCAGCCAGTGCCATCAACTGCTTCGTCAAATGACCAAAGCCTACATAATACAAACAAAACATTTCAAAGTATTAAATCAAAAGTGAATGTCCACCAGAATCTAATATTAATTGAGCATTTACTCTGTGCATGTCCTTTCTCAGCACTTTCCACGTGCTGACTCATTTAATACTCACAATACCTTGATAAATTAGGTCCTATTAGTATCTCTATTTATGAATGAGAGAAACAAAACTCAAGATCCTAACAGCTAAGAAGGATCAAACCAAGATTTTCACCAGTCAGTCTGGCTCTCACCATGCACAGTACATTCAAAACACATTCTATATGTACCTGGATGAAAATATTAGTATATAGCCAATGTTAATAAGGTAAATAATGCCATTTGCTTGACATGTGTTTCCTGTCTTCATCATTTGCCTTTATTTTTATTATAAAGGAAGTTTTCTATGAATCACCTCAGATTACTTTACTATCACATTAGATTTTTATAGACATTCTTTTATTATTAAATAGTCAATAAGTGCCCCAAATTAGCATCTATATATGTTATAAAGTATAATAATATGACAAACATCTGTTTACTCACCTTCCAATTTCAGGAAAACATTGTTAGCAATAACATTGTGTGCCTCTCTAATAACATCCCTCCTCCTCTCGATGGGAAATAGGGACCTTGAGTTTGTGTTTATAATTTCTTTTATTTCCTTTGTTTAATTTGCTTGTTTTTGAACTTTATAAAAATGGTTTTATACTTTTGCAACTTGCTCTTTGCAGACATGTGGTTAGCTCATCTGTGTTGATACATACATATATAATTCTTTGCTACCTTGTAGGCCATTTTATGAGCATATAAGAATTTATTTACCCATTCTCCTGGTGACAGATATTTGAGTTTTCTGTTATTAAAAAAACCAGTGTTTTGCCTAGCCAGTGTAGTTCAGTGGTTGAGCATCGGCCCATGCACCAAGAGGTTGCCGGTTCGATTCCCAGTCAGGGCACATGCCCAGGTTGTGGGCCAGATCCCCAGTGAGGGGCATGCAGGAGGCAGCCAATCAATGTTTTCTCTAATCAATGTTTCTCTCTCTCTTTCTCCTTCCCCTTTCCTCTCTCTCTCTAAAATCAATAAAGAAAAAAAAACAAAAAACAGCCCTGGCCGGTTTGGCTCAGCGGTTAGAGCATCAGCTTGCAGTCCTGAGAGACCCGGGTTCGGTTCCTGCTAAGGGCATGTACCTCAGTTGCAGTTTGTCCCCGGCCCTGGTTGGGTCATGTGGGTGGCAGCCACTTGATGTGTACCTTTCACGTCGATCTTTCTCTCTCTCTTTTTCTCTCGCCCGCTCTATCTGATCAAAAAATGAAAAAATGTCCTCAGGTGAGGAAAAAAACAAAACAAACCAAAACCCCCAGTGTTTTGTTATACAGAGAATGCCTCCACACACATTCTTATACAAGTCTTCTGTGCCCATGTGCAATAGTGGAGTCAAACTGTTGTAGCTTAAAATCTGATACATTATTTCCAAGAGGCAACAACCAATCTTCTCTCTGTTAGGCAGTATATATAATAATACCAGTTTAGACATATCCTTCACAAAATTTGGTGTGCTTTGCTAAATGGGTAGGTGAGTAATGGTATATTACTGTGTTCTCCTTCAGTATAAGGAGGGACCTTTTTAATTCTATTTTAAATTAGATTTTATTATAAATAAATGTTGACTTTAAATGATTTCTCTACCCCAAAAGATGAGTTTTCTCCTATAATTTTTTAGTGTTGTGAGTTACATTACTATTTCTAATATTTAATCCATGTTGAATTTACAGGTTAAAATGTTTGGTTGTGATGTATTACCTTTTTTATACACAGCTTGCTTTGTTTCACTAATGCTTTGTTTAGTTTTTTTTCATCTATGTTCATAAGTAGGGTTGATCTATTTTTTTCCATTCTTATATTGATCATATTGACTTTTGATGTGGTTGAGAGCCTCTTTTTTCCAGTATCAGACCCTAGAATGTTGTGTGGAAATCTTCTGTAAAATCATTTGAGTCATGTATTCTCTTTGAGAAAGATTTTTAAGTATTGATACAATTTCTTTAGGAATTTTAGGACTACTCATGCTTTCAATATCTTCCTAAGTTATATTTTCTAGAAATTTGTTTTTGTTTTTTGTTTTGTGTGTTTAAATTTATTGAAATAAAGTTTTAATTATCTTATTTGGGAACTCTAATTGGACATACTTGGTTATTTGGTCATTCTATCCTCATTGTCTCTTAAGTTTTCTTCCATATTTTCTATGTATCTATCTGTCCTGCATTATGTGTATTTTTTATTCAGATCTATCATCCAGATAGTCTTACCATATGTGTCTAATCTGCCATCTAACACTTTTATTGATACTTTAATTTCAGTGTTTATATTGTTCAATCCTAGATGTTCTATTTGGTTATATTTTATATCTTTCTTGTCATTTTCAGAGTTTTTTACTCTTTGCTTATGTTTTTATTTCTTTAGACATCATTATTTTATATTCTCTATCTGCTATTTGAAGTCCTTATGGTTTAGTTTTAGTATTTGTTGTTTCTCCTGATTAATCATCATGATGTCTTAATTTTCCTGTATTTATTGAAAAATTATCCGTTGGAACTTAATATGTGAAAAGTATCTGAAACCTGAGTTGAATGTGACACTGACCTTTGAAACCTAGGATGAGTGAGGTTTTGTTTGCTCCTGCTGGGTGGCTGGGACACTCCCAGATAGGATCGATTCTAAATCGTTAGATGGAGAGGCTGTTTTTACATTGCAAATGTGAGCCTCAAATCTTGATTATAAATTCTTATGAAAAAGAAATTCAGGTTGTTCCCCATTCTTTTTTTTATTTCCTTTTAAATTCTATTGGTAGCCCTAGTTCAGATAGACTTGTTACTTTATTCCGCAGTGTTTCCTTTTTTCCTATTCACCCATTTCTGTAGATCTGGCCCTCTGGCTTCCTTCTTTATCCTGGACTCCATGTAATACCCCTCCCTTCCTAGGCCAAGGCTGTGACTCCTTCCCAGAATGCAGCAGTCTCTACTGTTCAGGCTCTAGCCAACATGGTGAGTATTTGCTCACCTCACTTCATCTTTTGAAGTCATCCATAAATTCAAAAGAGTAGTTTTGATATTTTTATGTAGGAGTATTTCAGGATATGTAGTCTTTCATATTGTCAAATGTAAATGTCTCTCATCCAACATTTAAAAGGTTAACATTTCATCTAGCCTACCCAATTTCGGGGGCAATTGCAAAAAAATGAAAATAAGTAAAACCATGTGTTCAATATGCTATTTTATTTTTAATATGCTTTAAGGACTTGCAGAGAATAAACATGTAATTTTGAAATCAATTATATTTTAAATCATTACTAGGTTCTATTTTTTTAGAGCAGATTTGGGTTTACAGAAAAAGTAAGCAGAAAGTACAGAGCGTTCCCATACACGATCCCAGTCCCTGAATGTCATTTCCCCTATTAACATCTTGCATTAGTGTGGTACATTTCTTAAAACAGGCAAGCCAATAGTGATACACTATTGTTAACAAAAGTCTACGGTTAGGATTCACTCTTTGTGTTGTATGGTTCTGTAGATTTTGACAATTGCATAATGTCATGTATTCATTGCTGTATTTATACAGAATAGTTTCACTGCCCTAAAAATCCCCTGTGCTGCACATATTCATCCCTCCTGTCCACCCTACCAACCCCTGCAAACCAATGATCTTTTTTTGTCTATATAGTTCTGTCACTCATTTTTTTTCAACGTTTACATTAATTCAATTTTTTAACTTGTTACATTGTCCATTCTAAACTACAAAAATTATCTTACTTTTTCTTTTTATATAATACTTATAATATTTACAATATTTCTATATCCATGAAAAATTAAAAGAATAACCTTACATATGGAAGTGTATAGTCTGCATCCTGCAAGTGTACCTGGGTTGTTTTCAAGCCCAATCTCTGTTCCTCTCTTGTATTGAAAATTCTCAGAATAGTGTTAGAAAGATTAAATGAGAGTCTAAAATTGTCAAAGAGTGAGATACCCTCCCTTCCCAATCAAACTAAGTTGCTTCTATTTTGGGACAATTAAGTAATATTGCCTTAATCCTCATATATAGAGATATCCATCCAATAAACGAGAAATGTCCAGAATTTCAGTTCTAGTCTGGCCCTTGAGGCTAGCCAGGGATGAGATGAGTTCATTTCCCCACGACCTTGAAACACTTCAGTGTCACTTTATAATTACCCTATGTTTCTAAATAGTTGGCAAAAATTATTCTAAAAGTAATGTAAAATGAGGTACAAACAGCATTCAAGTATTGCAATATTTCTCACTTCCTGTGAAGCTCATTTTGATACCAATAAGAATCTTTTCCACGGGCCACTTAAGAAGGATGCTGACCACACTAAATGCCACCTTCTTATCTGATTACCATAAAAAGAATAGTAAGCTTTGGAAAAGGTGTAATGCAAAGTTCTGATCCCTAAAGCTTAGAAATGTTTTTGGCTTAAGTCAAGGTTAATAGCATACAGTAATTAGTTAGTTCCATTCTAGAATATAAAAAAGCAAACAATACTTGCAATATTTATGCTAATCATATTGATAAATATTCTGGGCAACATTTCCTATAACCTAAACCAGGCAAAGTAATAATTTAAAAAGATATAATAATGAATCAAGCCAGCACACCATATCTTTCTTACTGAAGGGTCCTAGCAACTGAGAATTAAATGATCTAAAGTCACTACTGAGCAGATCAAATCACATGGATTTAAAGAAAAAATGGAGAGAGAAAGCCTCAAATCTGATTTAAGTTCACTCTTTCCTCTGGGATTAGAGAACGTCCCATAAAATACCAAATTTAGATGGGATAGTAAAAAGTGGAAGGAAAGAACAGAATGAAGCTAATCTTTGATCTCTATCCAAATTCCTCTTTCTTTTACCTGCAGGGTTTATTTCCATTCACATGTTACCCATGTGATCTCTGGAGCCACAGACTGAGGCAGCTGAACT